GAGCCCGACGGTATCAATTTCAAATTCCACCTCGCCACCCATTCCAACAGAGACACTTGGGACTTTGAGAACGTCAGACTTGGCAACCACAACGACTAAGGTGAACACTCCAGAGAAAAACTCTACTAGCTCGCTAGGAGGAACGCAGTTACCGGGTGGCACTATCAATACCGAGGCTTCGAGTACGACCTCCACACTTTCGGAACTTTCCGGATCTCCCACCAGCAAACCGGAAACCCTTACAAATCCTGCCCCAATACCCAAGACTACATCTGGAACCTCGACGGCCCCTGCGGTAACGTCAAATGGGTCAGGAGTTACCGGAGCTTCTGCGAACAACACAACCCCGGGGGCCCCTCCTTCGGGCACTGCGTCTACAGCTATGGGCACTCCTTCCCAGACTACCCCCGCTCCTGAGACGACTTCAAAAGGGGGCTCACTCCCCGACCCATCAGTGAGCCCGCCAGCTAGTATTCCGGCAACATTTAGCGGAACAGGGACATCCACACAACTAAATATATCCATTCCCGTGGTGCCAATTCCTTCAGGAAATACTACTCCCCTTATACCAGAGAATCCCTCCCAAATCTCGAGCGCTTCTATAACTGCTTCCAATAGGCCCGAGGGGTCAGAATTCCTACCTCCGTCTCCATCTTCATCTCTGAGTGCAGCATCTAATAGTACCACCACCGGGATCCCAAAAAATAGCCCCGAAGGGTCGGAATTTCTGCCTCCGTCTCCATCTTCACCTCTGAGCACAGCATTTAATAGCACCATCACCAGGATCCCAACAAATAGGCCCGAGGGGTCAGAATTCCTGCCTCCGTCACCATCTCCACCTCTGAGTGCAGCATCTAAGAGCACTATAACCGGGGTCCCAACAGATAAGCCCAAGGAGCCAGAATCTCTGTCTCTACTTCCATCTCTGCCTCTGAGTGCAGAGTCCAGCAGCAACATAGCCGGGGTCCCGACAAATAGGCCCAAGGAGCCAGAGTCTCCGTCTCAGTCTCCGTCTCCATCTCCGCCTCTGAGTGTAGCATCTAACAGAACCATCACTGAGATCCCAACAGATAAACCCAAGGAGCCAGAATCTCTGCCTCTGTCTCCTTCTCCATCTGCAACTCTGCCTCTGAGTGCAGCGTCCAGCAGCACCATCACCGAGATCCCAACAGATAAGCCCAAGGATTCAGAATCTCCGTCTCCGTCTCCATCTCCACCTCTGAGTGCAGCATCTGGCAGTGCCATCGCTAGGGTCCCAACAGATAGACCCAAAGAGCCAGAATCTCCGTCTCCGTCTCTTTCTCCATCTCCACCTTTGAGTGCAGCATCTATCAGCACCATCACCGAGATCCCAACAGATAAGCCCAAGGGGCCAGAATCTCCGTCTCTATCTACTTCTCCATCTCCGTCTCTATCTACTTCTCCATCTCCGCCTCTAAGTACAGCATCTAGCAGCACCATCTCCGGGATACCAACAAATAGGCCCAAGGATCC